GATGTTTCGCTCTGTTGGAGCATTGTTGTCTTTCTTCTGTTGACGAAGTGTGTTTGCCTTACCAGGTTTCTTCAGCTAGCGGTTTTACACTGCCATCTCAGGGTAGAAATTAACTTTATGAACACGGGAGTCCAACGGACCCCTGCCCTCAAAAAGAGGAGAGGGAGTCCGCAGTCTTGCGAGGTTCAAAATAAATATATTAATCAATAACTGCATGTGCTTATTTTAAGATTCAATGCGGTTGCACGCCTGCCCACAATTCTCTTGGACATTAGCTGAAAAAATAACTAATTCCACGAGGACACTCCGGAACGAACTAGTTAGTCTGGCGATCTTTCAGTGGAGTCACACGGACTCCTGTCATAATGTCAAATCAGGGAGTCCCGACAGTAATTTACAGGGAGTATTTGACTCCGGACTCCCGTTAATTCGCACCCTGCCATCCGATTCGTGATAATGTTATCTACATATATATTAATAACATTTTATATATAATATAATATATATATATTATAATATGTTGTTTGATGATTACATAACTAATCAGGATTATTATTAAAAGAAATATATTAATATTTATATATATATATAATATATATATATTTCAGCGATGAACTGTCAGACACCGGAGGAGTTTGTGGAGCGCGTGCGGGAGCTGATACTGTGCTCGCCTGCCGACGGACCCGTATCGTCGTGCTCAGAGTTTCCCTTCGCCTCTCAACCAGTGTAGTGTCCATCCTCCCCTCGCCGCCATGGTTAGATGTACTAAGTCGGTTGTGCTGCGGAGGAGGAGAACGAAGGAGGACGGCGGCGGGCGAGGAGGGGCGAAGAGGATGAGGAGGAGGAGAGGGGAGAAGGAGGGGGGAGGAGAGAGGGCAGGCGGAGAGGGGAAGGAGAAGGGGAAGAGGAAGAGAAGGAGGGGGGTAGAGGAGGAGGGAGAGGGAGGAAGGAGTTAAGAGGAGGAGGAGAGGTGAGGACGGAAGGAGAGTTTGTGGAGCGCGTGCGGGAGCATGATACTGCGCTGCCACGACCCGTCATCGTCGTGCTCAGGTTCCTCTTCGCCTTCCTCAACCAGTGAGTGTCCATCCGTCCTCGCGCCATGTGTTAGATGTACTAGTGTGTGTGCGGAGGAGGAGGAGGAGGAGAAAGGGGAGGAGGAGGAGGAGGAGGAGGAGGAGTTTGTGGAGCGCGTGCGGGAGCTGATACTGCTGCTGCCACGACCCGTCATCGTCGTGCTCAGGTTCCTCTTCGCCTTCCTCAACCAGTGAGTGTCCATCCGTCCTCGCGTGTGACGCTGCCGTGTGTCGCAACTTGCGTGTGACACCTTGTGTGACGATGCCGCCATGATCTCTGCTGTAGTTAGTGACGTGCTGGTATAGTCACTATGACAGTGTATTACGTGTACAAACCTGTTGTAGTTTCACACTGTTATAGTTGCTATAGCAGTATGGTCGATGCATTAGTGTGTATGTGCGTGCGTGCGTGCGTGCGTGTGTACGTGTGTGCGTGCGTGCGTGGTGCGTGCAGGCGTGTATAGATGTGTGTGTGTGTGTGTGTGTGCGTGCGTGCGTGCGTGCGTGCGTGCGTGTCTACGTGTGTGCGTGCGTGCGTGCGTGGGTGCGTGCAGGCGTGTATAGATGTGTGTGTGTGTGTGCGTGCGTGCGTGCGTGCGTGCGTGCGTGTCTACGTGTGTGCGTGCGTG